TGCTTTGCCACTACATAGATAACAGCACAACATCCCAGAATGCTGGCATCGGCAAACCCATGAATGTGAATCTCGGTAATTGATGCTCTCTCTCGAGGAATGCTTCTTGGGAAGGTTAACACACTTGGCAGACTGTCTAACCATCTCTCCCATCGGCTTTTAAGATCTTTGGGCGGCTCAACGTCCCATCCAAGTTTCCGATCGCAAATGTCCCGGAAGATTACTTTCGCCGTGAGTAAATACGGAGCAGCTATACCCAGAGGATCATACAGTTTCGCCATTGTTTGAAGGACTGTTCGTTTGGTCATTTCTACATTCTGTTTCGGTAGTGATACAAACAAAGTATCTTCCTTCTTGTTCCATCCCAACCCCAGCAGTTTAGTATCAGATGGTTTAGTTCCTAAAGTTTCTTTGGCATAAGTAGATTCGCCGTCTTCCACGATGTCACTCTCTAACTCCACCGCATTAGAATGCCATTTGTGCAACATAAAACTTCCCTCACTAAGAATCTCTTTTGCCTGCTCTTTGAGTACTTTAGTCTCTTCAACTGTGTCACCTCCAATGTTTATATCATCAACATAAGTTCCTTCGGACAATTCTTCAACACACTGTGGATATTGCTGTACATACTTCTCGAGGTGAACATTCAAAGTTCCTCCGAGTAGAAATGGACTTGGGCCTAGCCCAAACATCGCTCTGGTCATGCGATAGACCATCATCTCTTTGCGTTGTAGATCATTTATCCATAAAAATCTCATTACATCTCGCTCGATCTCCCTGATCACAATTTGTAGGAATGCTTGTTTTATGTCACCAGCCAAGAGAATTGGTCTCATTCGACTGCGTAATAATATATCTAGGATTCGCCTTTGGAGTGGGGGACCAATGTCCAAGCAATCATTCAACGAAGGTGATTTTTCATCAGCTTTTGCCGAAGCATCGTAAACAATTCTTACTTTCGTAGACTCGGCATGCTCTCGTACTACAGGCTTGTGTGGGATATAATGCTCTCGGCTTCTCTCTGCTTTCTCTGGTGCGACTTCAATGACTCCTTCCTCAAGTTGATTCTCTATGATACTGTGGTAAGTCTCTAGCAGTTCTGGTTGTTTATCAAGCCGGTTGAATAATGACTGAAATCTCCGCTTAGCAACATGGTAATTGGTCGGAAGCTCTGGATGATTAGCCTTCCATGGTAATGACGTTTCGTATCGACCGTCTTCTCGCTTAGTAAGCTGTTCCTTAAACTCCTGATAAACGCTTCCTTGATCTCCTTCGGCACGGTCTTCTAATCCTAGCACATCCAAGCTGCAAAGATGCATGTAGTCTTCTTGAGAGCTTTTGGTGAACATCAGGAAGGAATGATTCATCTCTCGTCCCGGTGACATGATGGTCCATCCCAACGCGGTTTTCTCGGCAACTGGCATCCCATCGTCTCCAACCCTGGCTGGTTCTGATGTCTTGACTCTGGACATATCACTGGCTCCTAAGGTGAACAGGTAGAAGTGCTTTCTCGTCTCCGTCATTCATATGGACTCCTCGAAGATGTTCATAAGTTTTAATAAGTTCCTTGTACCTGGGGTTTGGCAAAGTCATTAGCACATCCTTCTCAATCCGGTTCAACTCACATGGCATCTTGAATTTTCCCTCAACATCTGCAATCTCGACTTCGTACACATCAATTTTCCTTGTTGTAGTTTGGAACATCATCTCAATTGATTTGAATTCCTGTCTCACTGGCTTTTTTCCAATTGTATTCAATAACGTACTTGACGCGAAAGAGCTCCCAGATCCAGTATCTAAAAGTGCTCGACACTTAACTCCTTCAATCTCGACTACAACAACTGGATAAACAACATCATTTCCATCGGGTTGGCACATCAGCTTTTGACCATCTTCTAGTTTATCACAAATAGAAGTATGGCGTCTTCGCTTGCAGTTATAACACTGGATCCTACTTCTACAATCACTTGCTCTATGCTTCTCGCCTGTGCAATTAAAACACAGATGCTTGCTGCTTAACAATTTCTTTCGGTCACTTGCACTCACAACTTTATCGCACTCTACCGATCTGTGACTTTTGCTTTCACAATACACACACTGTCTAGATTGTTCCTTTGCTAACAATAATCTATCTTTCCTACCGTCTTTCCATGGTGATCCATCTTTCTTCGCATCTTTCTCACTTTGTTGTATTGGGTTTCGCTCAATCCATTGTCGCAATGCTTCAACCAACTCAGGGAAGGTCCACTTTTTCCACTCTGGCGAGGTTCTTGTTAGGTCAGCCCGAATCCCTTCCAACTTATCCAAAGTCATCCTTACATTACCCGCAACATCGCCTAGTTTTCCGAATGTTTCAAGCGCTTGAACGTGTCCGACAAGATTGTCATAAAAGTTATGTATCTTTTGTTTTGAAGTACCATTAATGGTAGGTAGGGAAATAATTTCTTGTATGTGTGCATTGACCACCTCACTTGTATCACCATACCGTTCCTTTAACATCTTTTTCGCTTTCCCATACCCTTCGGTGCTGAGTGGTAATTTATCGATTGTAACCCTAACTTTAGATACAACATGCTCTTTCAAATATGCAAACTTTGCTTCATCATTCATAGGTGCTTTATCAATTTGGGTCTCAAATAAACCCCAGAACCGCACCCAGTCCAAATGACTTCCTTGAAATTTTGATATTTGTAGATCAGGTAATTTTGTTTTGATCCGTTTTGCAGAAGCAATTTCCAACTTCTTTTCTTCCAAAGATAATGCAAACTTTTCCTCCCTTGCACGCTTTTCAAATTCTGCCTGTTCTTCCTCATGTCTTATTAGAGCTCGTGCTTCCACTTCTTGTCGAATTTTCTCTTGGCGCTCAATTTCCCTTTGTGTTTTCTCTTCGTCTAAGAGCCTACGATTTAACTCTTCGATTGCCGCTTCATATTCACGTAATCTGCCATTATTTTCGCTTGTCCACTCGTCAATAGTTTCGTCAGATTCGCCTGCATCGATTTTCAAGCATTGTATAAGCTCAATCAAACCATACGCTTCGCTTACCTTGGTTTTTAGCGTTGTTTGTTGTCGTATTATCGCCTCTTTCGAATTCACTCTCAAAATCTCGTCTGTTGCTCGGTTAAAATATGCTAATTTCCGTAGTAAAGACTGTAAGTTAACCAGTTTCGACTCAGTTTCCTTGGATAAACCCGATTGCTGTTCGTCTTGGGCTTCAAGATCTCTTCGCTGACTTTGTTGTCTCGTCACCATAGCTCGATTTTGTAGTCAAAATACTTCCTCAAACCCCGATAAACTCTCGATAAATTCACAAGTTACAAGTCCAAATAATCCCGGTCGAAGGTGCCACTTTGTGGTGAAGTTTCGTTTGATTCCCACAATCGGTTCGAAGAAGTAAAGACTTTATAATATCACGTTTTGTTTAAGTTATAATTCCCGTTCTAAAGTCAACGCTCGCTCACATGTTATGTACTATATCCGAAGTGTTAATCAAATTGTACATTTCCTTAATAATATTAACACTACTGATCTATAAATGTAACTGTATAAACGTTCACGACAAGGCGAACAAATTGATTTGAAGACTGAACTGAAATTACCTAACAATTTTATTTTATTTGTATCGGCAAAATGTAGGTTTACTTGAATGAACATTTCAAAACATTTTACGAAGCGTTTCAAGTTAAATTTTACATTAAATCAAAGCTCACAAAATGCAAAATAATATACCTACAGTATGTATTTCGGAAATTTTCGACTATTTGCTAACTTCTTGTTATGGAATACTAGCAGTGTTGAAAAAGCTGAAGAATTTGACGCCTTTCCATGTGAGAAAAACACTGGTTGAAAGCCTTGTGCTTTCCAAAATTGACTATGCTAGTCCTGTATTCCACCCATTGCCAATATACCAACAAAAACGACTTCAACGCCTCCAAAATGCATGCGCGGGTTTTGTGTTAAGGAGATTTGCAAGACAGGAAGACCTTGCCACCTTGAACTGGCTAAACATTAGTAAAAGGATGGATTTTAATATTTTAAAATTAGCATATAAAGCTTTACATGACGATTCTTTTCCAGAATATTTAAGATTATCGCTACATTGCGTTAATGCATATAGTCTAAGATCATCTTCTGCACCTGTCCTGGATATTCCCAAGGAGTCAGGAACATTTCAAGACTCAGCAGCCTCCATTTTTAATAAGCTTCCGGCAGAAATCAGGAATATTAACAATTATAGAACTTTCTGTCGTTGTATAAAAAAAATTTTAAAAACAGTGAATGATTCCGATTTGCATTGCAATTGGATTATTTGTCTTTTTTAACTTTTGTAGTTCTTGTATGATAATAGATTACTGTATATTTAGTATAATGTAGATAATTTTACAGGTGAAGAGCCATTCTGTTTGTAATGGATATACTGTGAATAAACCATTATTATTATTATTATTATTATTAAGTACGAATCTTTCAACTATTTTGCAGTTTTGTACAAAATATATGAAAATAAAAATTTAAGAATATCGTGTTGTCATGGCAACACTTGAGCGCGAGCCTGCGTTCAGTGCTGGTCATTTCTGAATACTTCATGTTTAATGTATGGCAATATTGGCGAGGGGTTACTGCATGCATGTATTTCTAGTAAGCTTTGTAAAACGACAACCTTTGTCACGATTTAAATGTTCGAACGTGGCAAGTGAATAAATGGACTATAGTCATAGCAAGAATATTTTTAAAATAGTAAAAATGTTCTCTTTGTTTGATCGTTGTTTTCTAATTCATTAGGATCTATTTTGCAGTAAAATTTAATACATTGATTGGTTTTCCATTTCTGTTCGTCTGTATACACTATTTTGTATTTTAAAGATGATTTCTATACTCCGTTCTGCGCATCAGTTCTGCTCATAACAAAGGGGGACCCCCCAGTTGGCAGTTTCTATACCATTTGAATTCGCGCGTGTGTCTAAAGATATATTAAGGACTCTTCCACAAATATCAATGATTTTCAGTAAAAGAACAAATGAAGTGAACGTCTATGAAAACAGGTACGAATATCAGACAAATATACGTAAAAATATTTATATAAATAGCCAAATATCGTTCTGCTGTGCTCCCTTGGCCAGACGAAGTTGGTAATAACAAGTTCTGGACGTTTGCGTTAATGAGACCATGTCTTAGGCCTGCTTCATGCGTCGAATTTAATTTAATTCGTTATTAAATTCGTCAATTTGTCGACAATATAACATCGTCTCGTTTGAAACGACGAATTTAATTCAGACGAATTAAATTCATGACTATAGCGATCATGGATTACCCAGAAATAAAAACCACGGGATCAGAAAGACAGAAACGGATTTAAACATAATTTATGCAATTAATTCGACACGATACGACGTCGTATGAAACAAAGACGCGCTATACATACATTGTGTATTAAAAAATTAATATATCTACCATCCAAATGCCAGGGTATTGACACCTCTTCAACCACTGCATCTTTCTCGCTTAGTCTCGCAGCTGATTTCCTCACCAAGTCATTCACATCTGTTTCAAAACTGGGATCAAAACCTTCTTTAAGTAATCCCACACGCAAACCTTTAATATCCCCTGATAACTGTAGTGCAAATTAAAAATATACATGTTACTCAATAATTATTTAATATCATGCACCACCACACTTCGCCTTATTTCAGACCACTGAAGACTGGATGAAACGATGATGAGAGCAGGAGTAATTGAAAGGGGGTTCGGTGGGGGGCTTAGCCACTTTTAATATTCCTTTCAGTTTGGGGGGGTTCGAGGTGGTGGGGGCAGGGCTGAGCCCCCCTTAGAAATTTTATCAAGACTGAAATAATCTCTATCAGCATATACTCCCAGGGCCGTATAATTTGGGTATTACGGCTTGGGGGTGTGAGCTTGTTTTGCCCGACGAAAAGGACGTGGCGAAAGTCGTACCCGACGGATATTTCAGGGAGGTGGAAGAAAAACATTTTCGGAAATACCATGTTTCACTAACTTACCGAAATTTGTACAATTTTTCAGTACTATTTTCGTAAATTTCAGTAATTTTATGCTGAATTACATATTTTTTGCCGAATTAACGAGCGTATCGTTAAAATTGCTAAAATTACCCGACAAAACTGCAATTGGGGGCTGTCGCACCCCCCCCCACACCCCCCCAGGAGTTACGCCCCTGTATACGTGGGAGGTGGGTAGTGCTTTTCGCGCAATTTGTTTGGTTGCTCAGCTCGATCTGTATATCCTTCCACTATTCACCTCTGGACAAAAACAAAATGGGTTCCCGTTTTGTTCCGGTTTAAGCAGACGAGCAAATTTTTGTACTAAACGAAGCTTCTGTTTCGCTAAACGCGAAGTTTTGTTTAACAGTTAGGTATTCTTTAAAGCTATTTCTTATGAATAAAATTAGAAAAGAGTGTAAATACTGTTTTGTTTACAACTATTATTTGATCAGGCCATCCAAACACGGAAACCATAAAGTAATTGTTTTATAAAATAACAACTTTCCGTGTTAAAATTTCACTTTAAAAAACCTTTCACATCAAATTTCCGTGTTTGGATGGCTTGATCCAGACACGGGTTTCGACCAATCAGAGCACGCGTTATATATATACATGTTATTTTAGAAGATGTATTCTTTTTAAAGCTACTTCTAATGAACACAATTACTAATTAAAAGTTTCAAACTAATGGAAATACAACTATTATGGGAACAGGGAACTGTAATACAAATTGTTTTAAAAATATTTCGTTGTTTTTTGGTCATTTTTGTTTTGTTATGGTATATGCAAAACAATTATTCACCTCGGTGAATAGTGCAAGGAGAGTGTCGGTGAAGTGTCGGTGAATAGTGCAAGGACATTCATCTCAACACTTCGCGTTTTGTAATGTTTTTGATGTTACTCTGAGTGTATATCCACACCGGGCAGGCTGAAAAGTTAGCTTGACCACGGTGGGAATCGAACCCGCGACCTTTGGGATACTTATCCCATACCTGTGTTAAAAGCGGCTTTCTGATTGGTTTAGAGCAGGTGAGCTTGTCGTCGAGCTCACCTGCTTTTTGCCGAGCTCACCTGCTTTTCGCCCGAACTCACCCGCTAAACTGCTTACGTTGCAATAACAATAACAAATATGGCGGACAAGATTTAGCCGATAAACCTAAACTTTAAAGAACTTTTTTCGGTGACTAACATACTGAGACTGAAGAAAAACCAAAGAAAAATGCAGTAAAGGTAATGTAGACGTAGATAAAGAAGTATTTTCTTGCCCAGTGATTTTTTTGGCCGGGAAAATGTTCACAAAACATCGACGAGACGACGAATATATCGCGAAGAGCTACAAATGTGTGTATGGCTCGGTGTATGGGATAAAAACCAAACGTACTTGCAGGTTCGGTGAGTCCGGGATTGGACGCACCTCGGGTGGCTGGAAGTTTCCCGAACTCACCTCGCTTCGCTCGGTAAGTTCGGGAAACTTCCAGCCACTCTCGGTGCGTCCAATCCCGGACTCACCTCCCTGCAAGTACGTTTGTTATAAAGTCCAATGCTCCACCAACTGAGCTACGAGGCCAAGTCTGTTCGAGTGTATGGTATTTCGGAAATAAGTCTAGTAGTACCTTCGATACCAATGTGTTCTATAATATGATATTTTGTATGTGTTTTAATTTGGTGTTATGTATTCAGGTGAATATAATGTTTTTGATGTTACTCTGAGTGTATATCCACACTGGCAGGCTGAAAAATTAGCCTGACCACGGTGGCAATCGAACCCGCGACCTTTGGGATACTGCCCGGTATGGATATACGTTCAGAGTAACATCAAAAACATTATATTCACCTGAGTACATAACACCAAAACACACACAAAATATCATATCATAGAACACATTGGTATCGAAGGTACTACTAGACTCAGTTCCGAAATACCACACACTCAAACAGACTTGGCCTCGTAGCTCAGTCGGTAGAGCATTGGGCTAGCTAGTTTCCCAAAGGTCGCAGCCTCGTACCCAGGCGCAAATAACGTACTAAAAATAGCAACACTACAATGTTTTTATATAGATCAGTGGCTAAGATGAGCGAGCGCGCGGGGGTGCTTGGGGAGGACACGGGAAACGAAGCTGCAGAATCCCGTCGTGTCCTCCCCAAGCACCCCCGCGCGCTCGCTTATCTTAGCCATTGATCTATATAAAAACACTGTAGTGTTGCTATTTTTAGTATGTTATTTGCGCCTGGGTACGAGGCTGCAAAGGTCGCCGCGGGTTCGATTCCCACTGTGGTCAGGCTAACTTTTCAGCCTGCCCGGTGCGGATATACACTCAGAGTAACATCAAAAACATTATATTAACTTGAGTACATAACACCAAAACACTAACGAAATAACTTCGCGTTTTGGTGAATATCCTTGCACTATATATTCACCTCCACTTCCGTGAAAATTGTTACATATAACAAGTTTTGCCAATTTAGTAAGATTTAGCATTATCAAAAGTTTAAGCGGTTCATACTCCAAATCCTCCCTTGGAGAGCCTTCCCTTGTTAAAATTTTATACCTACACCACTTGATAAGATTGATTGACGGGAGGCAGTAACGTGACCTCAATTAATAATTTCTTACCATTATATTCAATCTGAGATTAATAGATCCAATCTTATGATTCAAAGATTCACCTTTTAATATATAGGATTCAAGAATTCAATCTTCAAATTCAAGCATTCAAGTTTAGGATTCAAAGACCGAGATCCGAGGATTGAATATCTTACGATTCGAATATTCAAACTCAGGTTGAAAGGATTGATTCGTCAGATTTAAAGATTAGGATTTAATGATTAAGGTTCAATCGAAGGATTGACTTATTCGTTCATAGGGTTCGTGTCTTCTAGTCTTATAGTCTTGGACTATAAGACAACCAGTTTAATTTTCGACTATGATTGTTAAAATTTGAGGACTTTGCCCATGATCGCCTTCTTCAAGATATAGAGAGGGAAAAAACAAACTTGATATCTTAATGAAAGTTGAGATTGGACTTTACCTCTTTTGTATAGCTGGGTATCTTGAGATCACGTGGTTGACGGTGATCTAAACCATCATCGTAACCAGCTATTGCCTGAAACGACAATCAAAACATTGCATCACAATCCGCTACCATCCAGTGAGGTTCATTAGTAAAGTATAGCGAAACAAAGATAACTTTCAACTTCTATTTCGACTAATCAACAAGCCAGTACGTACAAAACAACGAGTTGCCGTATACAGTCGCCTTTAATATTCAAATTCATACAGTATATGTCCATTCATCCTTCCTCGAATGGTTACTAATGTTACTACTGAATATTCGGAAAAAGCAGTAACCCTAAGTATACTAATTAACACCTTTCAATCTTCCTGTATAGCGGAAGAAAAATTCATGTACCTCCAAAAGTAATGCTGTATCATAAACAGTTTGCGCCATAGGTCCAGTATGATCGATAGTTGGTTCAATACCTATAATACCAGTGTAAGGTACCAACCCAAATGTTGGTTTCAATCCCACAATACCACACGCTGCTGCAGGCATGCGTATCGAACCACCCTGATCTCCACCTATAGCCATGTCCACGTCTTTATTGGCAACCTGTTAAAACTCGCTAAGATATCGACATTATCGAACAAAATTATTATCGCAGGACCAGGGGCGGCCATACATGAATTTTTTATGCTTGACCTAGCTAAAGATCGTCTGGTTAGCTACAGTAGTTGGAATGTGACCATATAAGCAACTATATTTCCATGTTTATACGGCTATCAACAACGCGCCAGTTACTGATAGCCCTATAAAAACATAACGTAATACGGTAATAGTCACTAGTAACTAATGTTGAACATGAACAATGAACAATGTTGAACATATCGATCGGGTTTAATTTGACACTGAGCATTGAGATTTTCCATTCATACTGCTATAGTATTGGAATGTTTATTGAGACAAACGATCTGCTCTGGAATAAATATTAATAAGTTACTTGATATTAACTGTTTTGAATACGCTTCAATCGTTCACAAATATCACTCCCATTCACTAAAAGTGTCGGAGGCATTGATTATTTCAGGCATTCTGGTAAAGGAAACACGATATTTCACTGATTAATCTTGCAATTTTAATAGAACATATTCTCTATAGCATTTTTGAATCACACTTCTTTAAAATACAAGCTTTCGTTAACTATACCTCCTGCATACTATCGTGCTTCCTACATCGTTTTCAACTGAGCAACTTACCAGAACAGCACATCCTGAAGATGATCCTCCAGACATCCTGGAAGGATCCCACGGATTTCTCACAAGTCCATTTGCAGCCGTGAAACTTCCTCCACTGAAACACAAGTTTTCACAAACAGCTTTACCAAGTATTCTTCCACCTTCATCTAATACCCGGGTTACAACACTGGCATCAATATCTGGAATATAACCCTCTACAAGTTGTGATCCATTCATCATTGGAATGCCAGCAACGGATATATTGTCTTTCATTGCGATAGTTTTTCCATGTAGTTTACCATTTGGAGCACCAGAAATATCACATTTCCAGTACCTAGGGGAAATATTACAAATTCGTTGCACCAACATAAACGTGCTATTGCAATACGCGAGAACGTCCACAGTAAATGTAAAATGCATGCAAGGAATACCACTAGATTTGTGCATAATATAAAAAAAATGTAGCAAAAATAATCCACCTTTATACTGCGATGAGTAATGTGACTCTGCCACGTAAGCAAATTTGCACATTTTCGGACAACTTTTGTGGTGTACGTGCTAGTCTGGTGCTAGTCATATACAGTACACGTGCGTGAACTAACAAGGCAACAAATCATAAAAGGAAGGACGAATTCGTCAATTCTTTTGTATAGCAATTAATTTAAGATATTGTAAGTGTCATTAATGAAGTGAATAAAAGTAATATCCGGTCATAACGGCAGAAAAAGTTAAGCATGTATATATGAATCCTGGAAAACTGTGGCTGTGTAATCGATAATTTTTGTTTCACAATCAGATTTTTAGAATCCCCGCCATATTCCGTAATTTAGATCAGAACAAATTAAAAAAAAAAACAAAGGTCTTACCAAGCATTAAATCTATTTTCTTCTGCTGCAGGCTTATTTCCAATTTTACGAGCATACTTTACTGGCAGCTTTGGTTCTGGTAAGTTGTATATTCTCTGGAATGTTGTTTCACAATAGTTTGCAATCACCTCTGAAGTAATATATAACAAACGAGAAAGCTTTTATTATTGGCGCAAAAAATACCCAAAAGTGTATTGACTTTGTATTTAAAAAGAAATTCAAGGCAAAATAGTTTAGTTAATTTATGGGGGATTATTACCGCGGTATCAAGACAAAGATACGGTACTGGTTTCCTTAAAGTTGCATCTCAATGTAATAAAGTTGCATGTCAAATAAAATCTGCATGTCGATGCAATATTATTATATAATAAATAATATAATCTTCATGCAGGCGGCCTTATTAGCTGTTGATAGTTTAGCAAAGTTTCATGATTCCATTCTCACATTTTCTATCAAATGATTTAGAGTTTCTGGTAAAAATCTAAACATTAGTACTTCTTTCAGAAGATTACTTCGCACGTGTTTTCGCAAGGGGTAATTTTTCAGTCCTAAAAATGAAAATCAACTTAACCAAAATAATTGTTCGAAAGTTTTACTAGCTTTTAATATTTTAATTTAATATTGTTAAAATTGCATGTGCTACACAATCAGCACGTACAAATAAATATAAGTATTCTTGTCAATTGATTTTTTCCAGGGGTTATCCGAAGAAAAATTTATAGACTACCCATTTCGACAAGAACAGACTGTGAGGTAGTAAACACAGGCTAACTGGATGCATGGCATGCAGTAACGAGAGACGAGGTCATGGCGTATTGGATACCTAAATAGCTAAGAGGTCCTGGGACATGCTCCCCCGAAGTTCCTCCCCCAAATTAGCTCCTCTTTAGAACTCCAGAATGGCCACTTCCTGCATTTTCAGAGTGATATTTGGATTTGTTTTTGCCTTAATTATAAATGTCTGTATGCTCATACAGATATTTTATAATCAGATAATTTATAACTAATTTTCATATAAATCTCGAAAATTCAATTTCAGAACTGCCCATTTTAAGATTTAGAACTGCCCATTTTACATTTAGAACTACGCATTTTGGAGAATGAGAGGCCTAATTAGGATGACCCCGATTGTTTCGACACTCCATAGTTACGGTTGCTACCCCCACAAGCCGTTTGGTTTTAGATTAAAAAAGCAATGTATGATGAATGAATTCCCGTGTCTGATTTTCACTAATTTCGGGTTTTATCTTCTTCTAACTTCTAACACAGTAGAATATAGAAAACCCGCTAAAATGCAGTGGTGGAACACGTCGCTTAACTCCATCGGGAAATACCTTTTTTGCCTGCATGGAATCTTTCGGATTGTTTTAATAAGCAAAACAAGCAATAGCTTTAAACGCACCTTGATATTCCTTCAGTTCTTCAACACTCATGTCAAATTTCAAATCCTTGGCAATTTTAGTAAGGCATTTAATACTAGGAGGATGAACTGCTTGGTGGCCAGAAAAACACTCGTCTAAAACATACATATAAAAAAACAATAATATTGCATATAATTTCCTCTGCCATGCAGGAGGGTTTTATTTCATGTTTATATTTTATGTTTCTCTTGGGTCTTGTGTTCCACTGTATGTATTGTACGTACGGATGACTGATATTCACGAGCTACAATCCTGGACAAAACATCTACGACACTTCCAATTATTTTCAGTTTATTTTAATTCTCAGTTTATCTATACTGAGAGAGAGAGAGCAGACGTGTATTTTGTGCTCCGTATAAAATTTCATGTGCATTATAGCTATAACCATTAATGGCGACTGAAAGCGATGCAATACAATCTCTTTCGATCTCAACGAAGGGTAATTTTAGTGGCGTAGTAAATTTGAGGATCTTCAAGAATTTATCAACGAGCAACTACAAACCCAGACAAAGTGGTCGTCGCCAGGAGGCAACTCAAAGCTTTTCGAGAACGAAGCGGTCAAAATTAGATGGTATGCGAATACGTCCTCGCTTACTATTAAAGGAATTGATTGTGAACAGCTGAAGGACAAATTGCGAGCAATTGCTAGGACAGAGTCTGACGAAGATGATGCTATATCGTTGATCGACAAAAACAACCTCGACATTGGCATATTACATAATGAAGCCGAAAGGTCAATCATTATTGAAAAATCGTAAACTCAATTCAAGCTCTCAAGTAATTGACTTATCAACGCAACCAAATCATAGTTTAATCTGCAGTGAACTTGTAGAGAAAATAAAGGATTTGGAACTGTACTTTAACATCAAAATCAGTGCGTTAACGCAAGAAGTATCTAGTATACAAGATAAATGGAAGGCGTATGCTAACGAGTCGCTCCTCCACGAAAATCGAGCATTAAAGGATGAAAACAAATCCCTGCTGCAAAATGTCGCTAACTTGTCCTTCATAGTATCCGATTTAAACACCAAACTTAAAGAATCTGAAAATGAAAAACAGTCTTTAGTCACAGTCCTTAAGTTGGTGAATCTAGACCAAAGTACCCACGATCAAAATTCTCATGGGACCTGGAAAACGCACTGCAGAAGCATGAATAAAGATCAGCATTTGTCTACTCGCAGTCAAGATAGTGAAGTTGTTACGAGAAACGCGTTTGATGTCCTGAGTGATACGGGCGGCAATGAAACCAACATTTATGATTATGACGACGGTAGAAGCAAAGTCGATGACCCCAGCTCTATAGCTACTTCGCAACGAGAATCCCAACGATCGATCGCAGACAATGAGTCCTCAAATAGCAAACCTGGTAACAAGTCAACTAAGCATAAAAGCAACTCAGCACAATGCAAAAGATGGCAAAAAGAAATTAGTCTTTATTGCCGGGGACTCTATTGTTCAGAATGTGCATGGCTGGGAGATGTCAAATACCGACAGAACTGTTGCCGTAAAATCTTTCTCAGGAAGCAAAGTCAATGATATGCAAGACTATTTGAAACCATTGCTTCGTCGCAACCCACATCAAATAATTCTCCACGTTGGTACAAACGACATTAAGTCAGAGAAATCTCCCGACCAGTTGGTAGAAGGTATTGTGAAATTAGTTAGTCAAGTGCGAAAAAAATCTGCACATATCAAAGTAGCCATCTCGGCTCTTACCATCAGAAAAGATGGTCATCTAATTCAAACAAAAGTTAATCAAACAAACAATCTACTTAATTCATTCTGCTCAGATAATAATGTTGACTTTCTTAATCATACTAACATAGATTTAGATTGTTTAAATCGTGGAGGTTTGCACTTGAACCGCAGAGGTAGCACGATAATGCAAAGAAACTATATGGATTTTTTAAATTGACGCGACATCCGTCAGACTAACTCGGAGGAAATTTTGTATTCGAATAGGTTACCATATCTTAAGGGGGATTTCCATTCAGTGGAAAAAGTCGCGCGATCGACTTTTTGCGACCACTTTCTTTTGAAATACAAGCAATGAAGCGCAACGGATGAGGTTGACTGCACGCATTTGAAAAGAAAGTGATCGCAAAAAGTCGATCGCGCGACTTTTTCCACTGAATGGAAATCCGCCTTTAGGGGTTTCAAGATGGCATTACTGAATATTGTCAGTTTGTTGAAACACATTGATGAAATTCGCTTATTGTTAGAAAATCAGACTGTTGATATTCTGGCACTCAATGAAACAAGACTTCACCCTGATATTCCAAGTGAATTTGTTAATATTGACGGATATGACATAGTTCGCATGGATATAGGGACAAACACGGTGGCGGTGTCTGTTTTTACATTAGGCGGACGATATCATATTTAAATCGTGGTGATTTAGTGCCGGAAAATTTAGAGTCCGTATGTTTGGAAATTAACCGGCCCAACTCTCGTTCCTTTATCGTTTCTACTATTTATCGTCCGCCGTCAGCAACCGTCGAATCTTCTCACAAATTGAATCTTTGCTTAAGAATGTCGATAACGAGAATAACGAAATTTACTTATTAGGAGATCTAAAGTGTAATCTGTTAGACCAGTCCAACTCTTCTGCTAAACACTTACATTCTATCATGCAACTTTATCAACTTACACAAGTAATCGATAAGCCTACAAGGATTACTGAATCGTCTTCTACGTTACTAGACGTTTGTATTACCTCCTGTCCTAAGCGAATTGCATTTCATGATGTAATTCATATGGGAGTGAGTGATCATAATTTAATTTATGTAGTAAGAAAAATTAATTCATATCTTAAACCTCACGCTAGTTTCGAAGCTTCAAGCAATTCAATGTTGAGAATTTCAAAGTCGACCTTATAAACTTACCGTGGTATTTAGTTGACAGAGAAACCGATATTGATAATAAATGGGCATGTTGGAAAAATCTTTTTATAACTGTTCTTGATAAACGTGCCCCGGTTAGGGAAAGACGGGTAAGAAATAAAACATCTGTGGCATGGATTACTAGGAATATCAGAAACAAAATGTTTGAAAGGGACCGTTTGAAAAGACAAGCAATTTTGTCGGATTTAAGTGAAGACTGGAGCCAGTATAAACATTATAGGAATAATGTCAACATTGCAATGCGTGAAGCTAAGAAAGTTTACTACAAAAGCAAATTTGACAAACATCAAAACAATCCTAAACAAGCTTGGAGGACGATTAATGACATCCTTGGGAGAAAAAAGGACACAATGATTAACGAACTAAAGCTAGGAAATGATACAATTACTTCTCCTATGAGAATGGCTAAATGTCTTAATGACTATTTTACAAGTATTGGTGGTAAAATTGGAGACCCCTGCAGGCTCTGAACACACTCAGAATTTAAATTTTGGCAGGCATACGAGTGATAATCTAAATACTTCGGAATTTACTTTGCATCCTGTTAACGAATCACAGGTTTTTAGGCTACTTAACAATTTGTCTATTTCTAAATCTACTGGATGTGACAAAATACCGGCTAAAATTCTAAAAAAATCTGCTTCTGTAATCACACCATCTTTTACCAATCTAATTGTTTTTGTTTGTGGAAACAAACCATCCAAACCAGTTGCTTTATGGGGATCTAGTTCATTGAGGGATTGAAAAACTTCCTCGCACGTTAATGGTGGCATGGTAAGGATACCATCAGGAATTTTACTGCTAACAAAGTTATGTAGTGCTTCTAGATCGGGAATTTGACCAATCTGTTTAACTCTGCTATTGGGATGGGAATTTTCCCGTCTGAATGGAAAATTGCTAGAGTTGTACCGCTTCATAAGAAGGGTTCACGCTCCGTTTTAGACAATTATAGGCCAATATCAATTTTGCCGGTTATTAGCAAAATGTTTGAAAAGATCTTGTATGAGCAGTTATACGAATATTTTACGACCAATAATTTATTGTCTGAACAGCAGTTTGGGTTCAGGCGCTTTCATTCCACGTCCGCTGCATTGCTAGATTGTACTGATGAGTGGTATGTTAATATGGATCGTGGTTTATATAATCTTGCCGTTTTTCTCGATTTAAAAAAGCATTGGACACGGTAAACCACGACATTTTACTGGCTAAACTAGAGTTATATGGTATTAAGAACACGCCTCTTATGCTTCTCAAATCTTACTTATCATGCAGATCGATCTCAGAAATGTCAAGTAAATGGGGAACTTTCCACATCAAAATATCTAAAATATGGAGTTCCTCAGGGTTCAATTTTGGGTCCACTTCTGTTTTTAATTTATATCAACGATTTGCCGAATTGTTTACAACACTCTACAGCACGCATGTTCGCCGACGATACTAACATTACAGTGTCCGGTAAATCAATTAAGGAAGCTGAGGTGGCCGTTAATGCTGATCTCAATAATATCAGAGAATGGCTTCTATCGAACAGGCTCTCTCTTAACCTTGTCAAAACGGAATATCTTTTGATTGGATCACGCCACAATATTAACACGTTAGAAGAACCGTGTGTTTTTATTGGAGATGAACCAATTAAAGGAGTTCAAGTTACAAAAACTCTTGGAGTCAAAATTGATCAATTTTTAACTTGGGACAGTCATATTGACCAAATTTCAAAAAAAATATCTTCTGGAATAAGTGCCATGAAAACGATAAAGGATTTCACTAATTCTGATATTTTGAAGTCGGTTTATTATGGTCTAGATCTTGTCCAACCCCATTTCGACTACTGTTGTGAAGTTTGGAATTCCATTAATAGAGGCCAGTCTGAACGACTACAAAAACTTCACAACAGATGTGCTAGAATCATAATGAACTTTAAAGATGAGCCTGGGCAATCTCAACTGGCCCTCGATCAATTAGGGTGAATAAGCTTGGAAGAAAGGCGAAAACATATTATGGCCCGTCTCATGTTTAAGGTTGTCAATAATTTGGCACCATCGAGGTTCTCATCAATGTTCCAGAATTCTAACCATATCCACAGTTATAATTTACGAGGTTCAAATGCGTCTCTCTTTCTGCCACGACCAAATACAGAGTATGGCAGAAAATGTTTTCGATATAGTGGGGTTAAAATCTGGAATAGCATTCCTGAACAAGTAAGAAACAGCGAATCTTTAAATTCTTTCAATAGAAATATTTCCTCTGTTAGTCTGACGAATTAGCTATTTGACTTTTGTATACCATTTGTTTTGTAATATGTATTTGTATTCGTAGTTCTTAATATTCTTAGTGATTTTGTATTTTATATATTTTTGTAACATTTACCTACGCCCCACTTGGAAAGCAGCTCCGGTTGAAGTGGCCAGCGTAGTCAAATAAAGTTTTATCCTATCCTTTTATCCATTTAACCAACCATTTATCCTTTTATCCATTTTTCCACTTTTGGGGGCCGGAGGGGGGGGGGGCGAGGAATTATTCCGATCTAATAGTAAAACAAGCCAAATAGTTTTGACCAGTTAGCTTGAACGATCTACAGTATAAACTACATGAAATATATAAAATGTACGTATCAACAGCATAAATTACTCTGAACGTAAGTTATAAGACAGTTTAATACATATAAGTGAAGCTGATATACATAGACAAATTTGAAGAGGAGGGAGGGGGGTGGGTGGAGGCGGCCGCCCACTCAATGTTTTTCATAATGTAATTTTAGATTCGTTCAAATTCAATGAAAACTCTAGATTTCAAACTTTTCCGGGAAGCTGACCAGGAAATCGATCAAGTGATTTTGTGGGTTTTTCGTCGCGTTCATGAGATTAATGAGGCTTTACGTCCTTAGATGCAGTCAACTAATAACAAGCAAATGAGACAATAGCATCGGGGCTAGTCGGAAAAACAGCAGCATAGCTATCGAAAAGCAAATAAAATTTACGAGCGTGAAATAAACTAGAAGTCACTATCGCAAAGAATGTGCTGCCTCACCCCCACGGGATCAAAGGCAAGGGAGCATACGCAATTTGCTGAATAAGGGGCTGTTTATATGATCCCGCTTAAACCGCTTTGCCAGGACGGGACATAAGGCGCGATTGATTTCGTGAAAAACTTTATTTTCTAGAGATGGATTACAGTTAACTGTAAACGAAAGGTTGTTCAAAAAGCTATAAAAATCTTCTTGAACTACATGATCTTCTCTACAACATGTGAAACAGTTCAGTTCGGTTAACCAGCATTTGCACTTTCGTTTAGCCTAGTGAATTATTTCAATACATCAAAATCATCCCACTTTTCATCATGTAAACAGCCCAGAGTATGCCCGTTCACAGGTTAGCCTGGTTAGGTGCTGGGCATGACCTAACTTGCAAACGGGCATACTCTGGGTACGAGATTGCTTAAACGCCTGTTCAGGATGCAGTAGTTTTATACCATTTATGAACTTATAATATATGAGAATGCTAATAAAAGATTATTGTTATTGTATTAGGAAATGAGAACCATATAATGTTTTAGTTTTATTACATAATTTTGAAACCATTTTTGAGGCCACCTAATCGTTTTTTGAAAGTTTTGATAACAAATACTCATTATAAATACGTTAATTGTTAATAGTTCTATTAAACAAACCAAAAAGAACGAACACGGAAAACTTTTTGCCAGAATTTAAAGCTGCTCGAATATGAACAAGTTTGCGCGAAATTAAATCGCGCATGATACGACGCGATTATTGTTTTAATGGCACCTTCGGGGCTACCCCTATTGCAGAACAACTAGAACAACTGAACAATATGCTGATAAGACAAAATCTATTTGTTGACATTTTTGTCAGCTTCAGATGACCATTCATTTGTAATGATTAAGATTGTAGAAAGAAATTCTGAGCAGGTGAATATATGACCAATGGCAATGGACATATCTTAGAGATATATTTTTCACTAAAAGTACATTTTGACTCCTTGTATAAATATAAAAGACGATCAGTGGGCTATTAGAACTGCAAATTCATGAAATCATATTGGTTTCAATACCTCTATATCGAACACTAAACAGCAAATCTAGTACTACTGAAATATAAATGCCTTCATGTATATCACCAGAAAGAACTATCCTTACCGGAATTATTCAAAATATTGTCGATCGTTTGCATTATGAAAATCCAACATACTGCATGTAAATAAGCTCGTATTAAACTGTATTAAATCCTGAGAAGAATCATGCGAGCGCAACACAAAATAAATCAAATCGAATCAAAATCGAAAAAAACAAAGAGTCGTCGAATGCTCGAGCTGACGACAATTTCCGAAAAATCTTTACATCCGACCTATTGACATGGATTCAGTACTGTTTCCCCCAATATAACTCGGCCAGGGACTGGGCACGAAAAAGCAAGAACGTCATGTAACGTCAAGAATAGGGAGCTGCCTCGCAAAAATGAAACTAACAATAACAGGTACCCGTATACCTAAAAGGTGGAAGGGACCCCATCCCCAGAGAAACACGCGTACAAGACACGCGATAAAGAAAAAACATACGTCAGGTCAAACCCCGGGGATGGCGGCCCTGGCGCCCAGTAATCCGAGAGAGTCATAAGGAACTCCCCCAGCACCGCCATGGGAAAAACTAAAGGCTCCCCTAAGCTGAATGTCATGCTGAGCGAAGGTGTAAACAGATTGAAACAGACAAAAAAAGAGAACAAAGCATGAAACATGCACATAAATTAAACAAAGAAAACAATAAAACGTGCTTATAATTGCCCAAGCATCATGCACACGAAGAAAAACTCAAATGGCTACCCGGACCAGTGGGCCCATTAAAGCGTCAACCAAATATACGAGCTCAAAACACAAATAAATACTCATGTATGGTGGCCCATCGCTGCCACTCAAATTTTACTCATATCTTTTTTTCTGAATTAATAAAAAGTGTTTTAAATTAAAATTAAAATACATTTACAATAAAAAAATAAACTAAAAAATAATAATTATCATTTTCATTTACAAACGTAAATGAAAATTGAATAAGAAATAAAGTTAAAAGCAAAATAAAACACAAATCAAAGTAAAATTGAAATTCTCCAAAGCCTATCGCTGCCACAGTACACCATGATGCTTTGCGCGCGTCAGTGTTTCCACGTGCTATCCGTCATTTGTATTCAAGATGGCCGCCGCATGGAAAGAATTCAAGACTGCAATGAAAGAAAAAAAGAATAGCAAAAAGACAAGTAATACAAAAAAGTTCGACTGGATTAAAGATGAAATTGTGGTGCAACAACTTTCATCTGAAGTTTGTGGTAAAGCACAAAAGTATTCGAGGATGGGACCGAGGGTATTTGTGCCCTTCCACTACGTCGAGGTCACCTTTGACAATATCAAGGCAGCTTGCGAGAGATTCTTCAAGTCCAAATTAAAGGATAATACATGCTGCGATATACTGGCAGGGGAGCAAGGGCCATCATGTCAATCGCTAGAGCAAATCCCCAATCTGAAAGTAATCCATTTGAGGATTATTGAGAAAGCTGAAGTAGATTCGCAGACACAGTCACCACAGTTGGAAGTCTACTCGAAAGAAAAATCTACAAGGCTACCTATAAAAAGAAGACGTACCCATCCAATTTCCCTCCAACCACAACAACCTGCACGATCAACCTCCGTTAAGTCAAGTTGCACTTTCCCAAAAAGTTTGTCTGTGGTAGATATGTTGAAACTGGGCAAAGTGATAAAAGAAAAACCATCCACCATTATTGAACTGTCAAGTTTTGATATAAATCAGATGGAGTGGTCTCCTGAATTTCGTTGTGTTGAGTTTGTTATAAACCCAGTGGTAATCGGTGTAGGGGGCTTTCGTGAAGCATTCTCTGCAACAAGTCGTCGAGATGACTTCAACACTTCCACTTGGGTAGTCAAGAAGTATTTAGCAAATGCGTTGGAGAATATTAAGGCGACAAATCAGACTGCCGAGCAGCACACAAGGAAGGTGGTGAAAATGCACCTACTTGCACGAAACTTTGCCAAGCAGCTCCAGCAAGAGGTGTGCAAGCGAAATAATGAAGAGGTGTATGGTGAGTTTATGTCTTACAACAATATTTACCTGGGAAAGATGGATGATGGTGAATTTGTTACTGTTGAAGAGTTTGTTAAAGGAAGCTTTGACAAGTACATCAATAAAGATGGAACTCTTTGTGGCACTTCAACCTACATCCGCATGAAAGCTGAGAGCTTGTCTCATTATTCCTATGTGAGATCCGATGAGAAGCTGATGGTGGTTGATATCCAGGGCAGCAGCCATAAGTTATTCAACCCGGAAATTGCCTCATATGAATTGCAAGAGGATGACGAGTACCTCTTTTCAACAGGAAACATTCAGTGCAATAACCACATTTGTGAGAGAGCATAATTGCAACATTTATTGTGAACTTGTTGGTTTAACAGAATTTGAAAATACTCCTGAATAAACCACAATCATAAAGTGGACAGCTAGTGCACAGTAAGACTGTTATGAATGTTATGACTGTTATGTTATGCCTGTTATGTTATGTTATGTTATGACTAACATGGCTATGTTATGTTATGCCAGGGATGGATCCAAGACATCCAACACAATTTTTAGGTGGGGATACTGAACTAGTTTCTCTTTTAATTCCTCATCGTCTTTCCAAGAAGCATCACAGAGAGCCGCCATCTTGTACAAGTGCTTCCACATATTGACGGTATTTCTTTTTGGTAATGAAAATCCCATGGAAACACTGACGTGAAAACACTGACGCGCGCAAAGCATCATGGTGTACTGTGGCAGCGATAGGCTTTGGAGAATTTTAATTTTACTTTGATTTGTGTTTTATTTTGCTTTTAACTTCATTTCTTATTCAATTTTCATTTACGTTTGTAAATGAAAATGATAATTATTATTTTTTACTTTATTTTTTTATTGTAAATGTATTTTAATTTTAATTTAAAACACTTTTTATTAATTCAGAAAAAAAGATATGAGTAAAATTTGAGTGGCAGCAATGGGCCACCATACTCATGTATAAGTAATATGGAAAAGCACAAATTGATCATGTACAAGGAAGACGAAAAACAAATGCCTGGACCGACGGTCATATAAATTATGAACAAACATAAACGTATGAACAAATATACCGGTTCAAAGGCAGAAAACGCCAAACATTATATAAGTATATGCTAAAAGCACAAATTGATCATGTACATGCAAAGGAAGGCGATAAACAAAGAAAACGCCTGAGACATGTATAAATTATGAACAAATATAAACGTATGAACAAATATACCGGTTCCAAGGCAGAAAACGCCAAACATTATACAAGTATACGCTAAAAGCACAAATTGATCATATACAAGGAAGGCAAAAAACAAAGAAAAACGCCTGGACCAACGGTCATATGAATTATGAACAAATATAAACGTATGAACAAATATACCTGCTCAAAGGGAAGAAGAAAAAAAAACCAAACATTAAGAACAAACACCGTACGATACGGGAAAATAAAAGAAATACTGTACAAGCACCAATAAACACGCATGATTGCAGGCAAATTTCAAAGAAAAACAAACGAAATTGATAAGATAAAACGGCCGAAAGATCGTTGGTAAAACAAAACGCGAGCGAAATATAAGTACGGAAAGCAAACAAAAGCCGAATCGAACCACGCTAAAATTGAACGCATAAAACAACGAGTCAACCTAGCATACGAATACGAAAGATAGCCAAGAACGACCGACAACCAAACGAAACAGTTAACCGTAGGCAATAGGAAAAGCGACCTAGACAGCCACGCCTAGCGTTGTTTTCGCTGGAATAAAAGCAATTACACACGTACGCTCGTCAAAATAGGAGGGGCAGTCAAGCGGACATTGGGGCATTAAAAATCAGTAATAAACATGAAACAAAACCTCAATTAGCAGCATATCAGGCTCAGCAGCAACTGGAACATCTTGCTGGGGTTTTTGCAGAATAGTAGCCATTGCAGCAACTGGTGATTGCGGTATTCGAGGAACCAATGCACTGGCTTGAGCATCAGAGTATCTTGACCATGTTGAAGACATCCCGCTGCACTTCACTCTTTCGCTCTCTGATCGAACTAATGTATTCATGGTGGTCTCCTTTTATAGCCTGTGTAAGACCGCTGTAAATAGTTTAACATGCAATTCCTGACAGCGAGCGCGCAATATACATATGTATATTCACTTACAGAAGCTTACAGGTAATACCGTACAGTTTGCGGCCGCATTTCGATTGTTTACAGGCCTGAGGCTGAGCAACCTAAGGTTAAATAATCATTGGAAAGAGGAGATAAAGTTTCGGCAAAAAATCCTAAAGAATAGCAACGTAGAAATTTATAGTTTAACATGCTATTCTTGACAGCACGCGCTATATGATCGCTGTACTGTATGTATTCGCTTACAGCTACAGTCGAACCCCTATTAAGCGGACACCTTTGGGACCTCGCCTAAGTGTCCGCTTAAAAGGAGTGTCCGCTTAAAAGGGGTGTCCGCTTAAAAGGGGTATGTAGAAAAACAAAGCAGGAGGCAAAGGTGTGTAATTAGGTGTAATTTGAGTATCAAAACAGTAAAAAATATCTAGCAAATAATTAGCATAAAATGAAAAATTCTTTGTGCATAAAAGTTCATTACAAAATGTATACGTCTCTCACAGTCATATAAAAAAGGAATCGATACAAGTTTGCTTTCGAGGCTCATGCAGACGATAGCCATTATATAAATGTCATTTACATAAAAATGACGTTCGAAAGTTCTTCCAAACCTCGAAATTGTGCGAATTCTGCCAGCCACTCGACAGCGTTAGGGGCTTCGGAGGAAGATTTAATGACTGGTTCGTTTTAAGAGACCAGTCAAATACATCTTTTTTGTCCAGTTCGTTATCATCAGTGATCTGACACATATCTTTCGGCTTGGCTGGCGGCTCAGTCCTCCGTCCTCATTCGTCACTTCCTCAATAATCTTGGCTCTGATGTTTTCGCCAAGTTGGTGTGTCACTGTCAATATGCCATGTAAATTGATCTCAATTGTTATTTATTGTCGAATATTGAATACATTTTATCAGACAATCTGTCAGCTTAAGAGAGGTTGGTTTGCCCATTCAGCAGACCTGCCAAGTCTCACGATTTAATCGTGAGACTCACGATTTTTGATGCTTTCTCACGATCTCACGATTAAGTCCCCAAATCTCACGATTTTCGGAACTTATGAAATCATCGAAGAGCGCAACATCTAGTCACATTCTTCCAAGGAAACATCACACTTTATTAGTGTATTAATAATGCGCAATGTACAACGCCAGAATTTTGTATGCGTGATGTTTGTGTTACAAAGTAAAAGGCGCGTCCTGCTAAGTTTATTGTCCTGCTAGTCTTAATATTACTCGTAGATTTCTTGTTTTTGTACAGATATTGCGTTATATTTCCAAGGAATTCGTACTGACACTGGAAGCTACTAAAGCCATAAAGAAAAAACAGCCTATTTTTAATAAGCCTTGCATTTACGGTTATGTTAACAAAATATAAGTGCATACTTTCATAAGATTGAATATCTATTATTTTCTAGTGTTGTTAAAGTTAACCCTGGTCATATTAATGAGCGAACCTGAAAATTCCTAAGTCTCACGATTTTTTCGGGCTAGAAATCCAATACAGTATGGCGGAAAAGCATGCGTGCAGAGCGCAAATTAAATAAATTCAAAATGGCGGCAATGTATAGAATTGATAGAGGAAAAATTATATTTCTGATTTTTTGTTTTATAACCTTACAAATTCTCACATGTGCACGTCTAAAACGTCAGTATATAACACAAATATTAACTAGAACAAATATCGCGACAAATTGACAAGGCTAAATGAGCTCCCTAGCTCGATAGATTCTTACCTCTTATTCCCCATACAAGTCGTCAAGTGTCTATTAAATCCCAATAATTGGCCAAAGTTGGCCAAAGTAAGCTTTATTTTGGCAATAATCAGTTGGTTTGGCTGTGATGTGCACGTCTAAATACACTCGAGAATATTTATTCTTTGTTTTGCGAAGCCTTTTGGGACGTATCTTCGTCTTTAAGTAGGTTCCCAAACCCAAACACCATAAAAAAGTGCGATTTAAGTGCCGCAGAGTTGTTGTCAATCGATCGACCAAGCGCCGACATAAACACTGAACGCGACATGAAAATCGAAGCAATAGTATTGAATACAATGCTTTCTTGTCGCCATTTTAGCACTGTTGTTATGGTTTTCATGGTGTTTACCGCTGCAATGTTTATTTGATCGTGCCAGGATCGTGCTGTGATCGTGGATGCAGAAATTAAAGCGCAAATAAGAGGTAAAATTTGAAATTTGGCTTGGTAAATATACACTCTCTGTTGGGAATCAAATTTCGCAATTTACGAAATTCAAAAATAAAGCTAAGAGGCATTTTACATATAAAGTGTTTCTTATATATTTTTACAGTGCTTACGCTGAGTTGTTGTATTAAACATGTATGATATTCCGCTATTAGATTGCTATTTGCAATGGAAATTAGCAATTGCAAACGCTTCATTCGCATATGCTAATGAAGCTCAATGTACGCAGGATATAGTTTTGACCTTTTGGCTTTAGATATTCACAATATATTTGCCGCATTTAGTCTTGTTCTCGCTATAAAAATCAGCTGTGCTGCACAGAACAAGACTCTTTAACTCGTTCAACTCCTTGTAGAAATGAACCGCAATGGCGCAATGTTTAATACCAAGGTAACCAAGGCAAGTAATTAATTTATACAAATCAGCAATTTATGTAAATTTGAGCCTGCAGGTCAAACCGCATACTGTATTGGATTTCTAGTCATGTGTGGCAGTCAATCTCACGACTTTTTAGATAGCAACTCACTATTTCTGCTACTCAAGGGTTGGCAGGTCTGCCATTGGGACCTCAAGTAAGGTGTCTGCGTCCGTTAAAGAGGGGTGTCCGCTTAATAGGAGTTATGATAATAGTATTTTATTAAAGAAAACGAATGGGACCTGAGATATGTGTCCGCTTAAAAGATCTAGAGGTGTCCGCTTAAGAGAGGTGTCCGCTTATAGCGGTTCGACTGTATACAGTACTGTACAGCTTGCGGCCGAATTTCGATTGTTTGTAGGCCTGAGCCACCTAAGATTAAATAACCAATGGAAAGAAAGAATATTAAAGTTTGTACAATATATGCAAGTTTTAAAAATCTTATAGAATAGCAGCTGAGAATAAAGGGTACGGGCAATGAAAATTGCTTCATCTATCTTATTGCTTCGTCTGAAAGAGCATGAAAAAATAAGCCGATTGGCCGTTTAATGCTTTATTCTATCTCATCTA